TGGACTTTCCATAAGCTCACAGAATCTGCATCAGAGAGGAATTACAAGGAGAAATCAAATACATAAGTTCTTTCTGTGTACAAAGGACTATGCATTTTCACATTCATTCTTATATGGATTGAACAAATATACATTGAGTATCTATATAGTGGAAGGCATCGTACTAAGCTCTGCAAATAACCTATCGGAAAGCCTGGTTCTTGTAAAGCTTAATGTAGTGAAGGAAGACAAATGAAATGATGATTATCAGCTTATACAGATACTATTGAAAGCTGAATTCTATGATGACATAACAGAATTCGATGGGCCCAGGGGAGAGATCCCTGATGAAGGGACTGTTACTTGATGATGGAAGGATGAGCGGGGGAGGCTTGCCAGTCTGGAGCATGCACTGAATTCTGTTGCCATCTATTTGCAGCCAAAATGAAGTGACAGGGACTGAGTTACCTCCCATCTGAAACAATCAAAGACAAAATATACGAGGAAGTGATTTTCAAGACAAAGAACATCAGACAATGAATACCAATGATTCTTGAAGTCAGCCTAGTGAAAGCACCAGCTCAGGGCCTTGAGGGGGTTTGAGGCATGACAGGAAGAAGGAACCGAGGTGAAGTCCACCGTACTCACAGGTGAGCTGATGCAACCCAGAGTCTAGTACAGCCGGAGCAGATAGAGGTCACAGGCCAGAGCTTGGAGAGCAGAGAGGAAGAGACAAAGAACTCTGGAGCCCTGTGAGGAGACAACCTGAGATCAGGGGGAAACCCCACTTGCAAAGAGTAAAGGAAAGACTGTCTGCTACTCACACAGCACCAGGAAAGGCATCTGCTCCCACTAACCAGGCTCAAAAACTCAACCAAGGACCATGAATAGAGGAGTCAGAAAGGTCTTTTCTCTATCATTGGAATAATGAGCCCAAGGCTGACACCATTCAGGATTCACCAAACAAATGAATAAGTGCAAGAGCTGGGGGGATCAAACTGTTTATAAGTAACTTAATGAACCGTGTCCTAAAACAAAGCTCAAAAAGATAAAGAGGCATGGATGCTATTTTAAAAAAGAAAGACAAAAACTAACCAGAGTCAAAAAATATGTCAGAGATGAAAAACACACTGGTTGGAAATAAAACACACTGGTTGGAAATAAACATATATTAAACATCACAAATTTTAAAAGTGTGTTGGTGTAAAGATGGCCTTAGAGATCAACGGAACAGAATAGGGTCAGAAAAAAACCCATTCTGTAGGCTTGTTCTGACAAGACAGATTGGCACGAAGTGGAAAATGTATAGTCTCTCAACAAGTAGATCTCTGTGTGCAATAGACTGAATTTGGACCCCCACTTCATATTATATGTGAAAAAGAGCACATGGTCATAAATTCATATGAAGACCTAGAACTTTAATATTTTTTAGTAAAAACATAAGCTTTCATTTTAATCATAATTTGCAAAATGACAAAAAATTTAGACAGGCAACTCAAAGATCTACAGATGGCAAAAAAGAACATAAAGAGGTTCAGCACTCTTAGTTCCTGGGGAAATGTATATTAAAGCCAAATGAAACATTCAGTATACAGCAATCATTTAACAACTAATAGCACTGAGTGTTCATGAAGCTGTATAGAACTCTCATAAGCTTCTATTGAGAATGGAATTGGGACTGTCCAACTACTTCAGAAAACAATTCGGTGGTTTCTTAAGATGGGGATAAAGAAAGGAGAATTTGAGGGGTGATAGGTAACTATCTTCATTGTGGGATGGTTTCAGTTGTGTATATGTACGTCAAAACAATCCAGTTATGTATTTATCTAGGTGCCATTTAAGTAAAGCTGTTGAAAACACAAAGCCTTATTGTGGGAAAGACAGTGGCTGAGACACACTGAAAAGAAGAACGTGAAGTAACACAAAATGCAGCTCAAAGATGATGGCCTTTAACCTCAGAAAATGAGAGGTAATTGCTGGGTTTTAAGGAAGTGAGTGACACAATAGGTCTGAATTTTTAAAAAATCAGTAGCCATCATAGTTATGGCAAAGAATAAGGTTTCCAGAAGTGGAATGGCAGGGAAAACAGCTCTGAGGATATTCCAGTACATTCTAGGAGAGAAATAACGGTAACCTGACTTCAAGTAAAGGCCTAGGACAGAGCAAAGTAACAAAAAGTATAGTGGGATTTCCATCCCAGGCAGGGGTCTTGGGCCAAGCCTCCTCCCCCAGGGTGGGACAACTGGAAGGACTGAGGCTTCTGTAGTAACTACATTGCGTTTTAACTTCTCTCTCTACCCGATGCATCATCCTTCATCATTTTTTACACGCGATGTCCCAAAGTGCACTCCCCAGTAAGGACCTGCAAGCAAACCTCCAAATCTGTTTACTAGAGAAGCCAAACCGAGACAAAATCCTGGAGTGAAACCCACAAAGTATGCCTAAGAGTTGCAACTATTCATCACAGCAAGAGCAAACAGCTGGAAACAAATCCATCAGTAGGAAAATGGATAAACTTGATTCTATCTTTCTATCTATACAGTATATAGAAGCTACACTCCCAAAATGTATATAGTATTGTAAACCACTGGGGTAAATCAATAAAATTTTGGGGCCCTCCCCTGGTGCAAAGAAAAAAAAAAGTATAGTGGGATTTCTCAAAGCTCTTTGGGAGAGAGTCACCAATCGTTTAAAACATATTTCTGAGGTGAATAACATGGGGACAGATCTATGCCCCACAGCAGTGTGATGCCTCAACACTGCAGAATAAGGAGACAGTGTTTCCACAAAGGTCCTACCTTTGCAATTGACACCATGTTGTTCAATGAGTGACATAAAATTCTTATAATTACAGGAGGGCAACTTGCAATCCTCTGAAGCTGTTTCAGATGACTGAATGAAGTCATCGAGGTCATCCGCAGACTTAGTTTGCTGTTTGACCTACAAGTAAATAATGCTATTTCAAAGAGTCCACTAAATCCTTATAAAATACTCTAAGCAGACAGTGGTAGCCATCTTTTTAGCAAAGTAAGTGCACAGATACTTTGTAAAAGAGCTGATTTTTATCAAAAGGATACCCTTATCAAATCCACTGTTTCTAAATTCTTTTTTCAAACTAAACATCTCTTCAACTAAGTTAGATTTTTTAGCTTTTCACTATAGCCTTCACAGTGTATTTTTAGTACTGAGTGTAATTTATTATAATTTATTTTTTACTATACCTTATTCTTTCCATTAGATGATTTCTTTGAACACCTAAAAAACAAATAGCAATTACAGGCAAAGAGTAAATACATATAAAGAATCTAAATCTTTTGTTTTTATATAAAATGTCTGCCTTTGCAATTAATTTTCTAAAAGGAAAATTAAACTACAAATGGAACATTAGAGAACAGAAAAATATACTACTAATTATAGTAACAAAGTAAAATCAAGATGACAGTAAAAAAGAGAAAGGAAAAACATTGTTACTTGCATTCTTTGATAGGAAGATAGAGCAGTTTCTTTTCTTTTTAAATAGTTTTTTATTGGCACAAAAATGTATTTGGAAAATATTAAGTCCTTATGTGGAAAAATCCTTTTATAACACATGATATTAGTTAGCTTTATGAGGGTTTACCATGCATCTCTATCATTATAAGCATTTATGTGTCTGAAAGGCATTTTAATCCTCATTACAAATATGAGACATAGATAACTTATTTGGTATATTACAAAGAAAAAAATTAGTCACACAGAGACTTAGTAATTCATCCACAGCAGACTCAGAATTCAAACCCAAGAAATCTTAGGTAAGGTAATAAATGAATCTCTGTTATTGCTCCATTTCTATAACTATAAATTATAATTTCTGAATCTTACACACATTATTTTAATAGAGATACTTAAACCTAGGCAATATTGGAAGCCTACGTATACTAATAATTTCTTTTTTCTAAAGAAATTCACCAACAGATTCATCCACACAACTGTTTATTATGCATTCACCATCAACTTATTAAGCACATAATATGTATTAATGACAATGCTGGAAACTCAGCTTTTATACTTTAGAGCTTCATCCAAAATAATAAAGTGATAGATTGTTAATAGTTTATTTTTCCATTGTACATAAAATACTCCTTTTTGTTCCCAGATCTAAGCAACTATGACGGTTACTATAAGCTGATAAGCTTTAGAGTGTCTTACAAAATCAGAGCTATCATAATGATACCATCAAAAGCACCAGAGTAGCTAAAATCACCAAGGAATGATTAAATTCTAATCAGTATGAACTAAGTGTTTTATAGTTATTATTAAGCAATATTTTTAAACTGTGTATAATAATAGAACTTCTAAGAAGTCATCTGTATATTCAATTATTTGAGAATAATCCACTTCAGAACCAATTCTAAAGGAATAGCCTCTTAGCATAAAAATAAATATGAAGAGAAGTGCTAAGGACAATTTGTTTCTATAATCTTTAACAGGTAATGTCATGCAATCAGCAAGCTTCTAAGACTGGAAAAGTAAACAAACTCACTTAATACGTCCTATTTCAATGGGCTGTTTTCAACCACAGGAAACATGCTCCCCCATCTTATCATAAAAGAAAATGTTTTTGAACTCCTCTTTCTTCATAAGCTATCAAAGCCTTCATTGCTCTCCCAGTAAATACTCTTCTCTAAAGGGGCACATACTCACTACAATGTGACTTCAAGGACACTAATTTTTGAAATGACTCCTCTTCATCACCTTTCAGGAGACTCTGTCTCACATAGCTGAAGATTCTCTTGCTTTGGCCTATAAAACTACCTTGTGCTGTTTTATTTCCAGAAAAAGTCATCACTGCTAAATTATTTTCCTTAGCAATAAGGAATTTATAGGTCTTACCTCTCATCATTCCAGTCTATTTCACTCAAACTGCTGTCATCAGTCACTTGAAGTACACCACCAGCTAGGGAGGCAGACTTCTCAAATACTGGTGGAATCACAGGTGCTTTTGTGGTCCATTTTTTAATTTCAGTTTTCTTTCCTTCCTTCATAGGCAAGACAGGACCACTATTTTAAAGAAAGCCATTAAGAAATCAAGGTTTTTATAGCAATTTTGTTGATAATAAAAATTTTTAAATATAATACCAACTTTTAAAAAATATATATACACACATATAGATTTACATTTTACATAATGGTTCATTTTTGTACAATGTTTGAGTCCTCCTCTCAGGTGCAGTCCTCGTAAAAGTCCCACCACCAAGTCACCTGAAGTCTCTTTGTCTTGTTTTACAGCCTTCACACTACCCCATCCCAGGTTGAATGTCTCAAGTATATATGTGCTTTCTAAGTTTTGTCTTCCCCCCACAATCCCTTATTTGGTTTCCTTATATTCCTCCTATTCCTTTCCTTCTGATTTCATTGTGCATCATTCCTGCCAGCTCTATCCATGTTGTTGTGAATGGCATTTATCTTTTTTGATCGCTGAATAGTATTCGATTGTGTTTATATACCACATTTTCTTGAGCCAGTCACCCATTTTTGGACATTTAAATTGTTTCCATATCTTATCTATTGTAAAAAGTTCAGCAGTGAAAATAGTAAGAGTGCAGGTTTCCTATTGAATTAATGTTTTTATATCCTTTAGATAGATTTCTAGTAGTGAAATTGCTGGGTCATATGGTAGATCCATTTTTGGTAATTTGAAGGTTCTCCTTTCAGCTTTCTATAGTGGTTAGACCAGTCTGCATTCCCATCAGCAGTATAGGAGAGTTTTTCTCCACATCCTTATCAACATTTGCTGTTGCCAGTTTTTTAAATATAGACCACTGGTACATAAGTGGTATCCTATTGCAGTTCTGATTTGCATTTCCCTGATTATAAATGATGTTTAGTATTTTTCCATACACCTGTTGAGCTTTTGCATTTCCTCTTTGGAAAAGTATCTTTTTAGCTCTACTGACCATTTTTTGACTGAATTGTTTGTTTTTGTTGAAGCATGTGAGCTCTTTGTAGAATTCTGTGATCAGTACCTTATCAGTTGTATGGATTACAAATATTTTCCCCCAATCAGTATGGTATCTCTTTGGTTTGGTTATTATCTATTTTGCTTTACAGAAGATTTTTACTTTGACCTAATCCCAGCTGTTTATCTTTTCCTTCACTTTCTTTGGTTCTGGGGATGAGCCTTTAAGGATGTTTCTGAGATGTAAGTCATGTAGTATTTTGCCTATATTTTCTTTTGTATATCTTATGGTTTCATGTCTAACATTCAGATCTTTTATCCATTTTGAGTTGGTTTTGTAGATGGTTTGAGGTAGTAGTCTAATTTCATTCTTTTGCTTGTGGTGGTCCAGTTTTCCCAGCACCATTTATTGAACAAACTATCTTGTTCCACTGCATATGGTTTGTTTCTTTGTCAAAGATTAGCTATCCACATAGATGTGGATTTATTTCTGCATTTTCAACTCAGTTCCATTGGTCCATGTGTCTGTTTTTGTTCCAGTACCATGCTGTTTTAACTATTATGGCCATGTAGTATAGTTGGAAGTCTGGGCATGTGATACCTTTTTCGTCAGAAGAGCTTGAGCTATTCAAGTTTTTTTGTGATCAATATTTATTCTATTTCTTTGAAGAATGCCATTGAGAATTTTATGTGAACTGTATTGAATCTGTGAATTTCTTTCAGTAGAATGGCCATTTTGATAATGTTAATTCTGCCAATCCATGAGCAGGGGATGTCTTCTATTTCTTTTAACAATGTTTTATAATTTTCTTTATATAGGTATTTCCCCTCTCTTGTTAGGTTTATTACCAGACATTTGATTTGATTTTTTTTTGTACAATTGTAAATGGAATGATTTTTAAAATTTCTTCTTCAGATTGCATATAGAAAGGCTACTGATTTTTGAATGTTGATTTTGTATCCTACTACTTTACTGAACAGGTTAATTCTTTTAATTAGTTTTTCTGTAGAGTTTTTCAGATCCTCGATGTATATTACCATATCATCTACAAATAGTGATAGCATTGCTTCATCTTTCCCTTTTGGATTCCTTATATATCTTTTCCTTGCCTATTGCACTGGCTGGGACTTTCAGTATTATATTGAAAAACAATGTTGAGAATGGATATCTCCTTGTCTTATTCCAGATCTTAAAGGACCAGCTTTTTGGTTTTTCAACATTAAGAACTATATTGTCTGTGGGTTTGTTGTATATGGCTTTTATTATATTAAGGTATATTCCTTCTATCCAAGGGCCTCACCATAAGTGGATACTGAACTTTGTCTAGTGCTTTCTCAGTATCTATTGATATGATTGTGTGGTTTTTATTTTTCTTTTTGTTGATATGTTGAATTACATTAATTGATTTTTGGATGTTGAACAATCCCTGGAATAAATCCCACGTGGTCATGGTGCATTATCCTTTTGATGCACTGTTGAATTCTGTTTGCAATATTTTATGGAGGATTTTTACATCAATGTTCATTAGGTAGCTTGGTTTGTAGTTTAAAATTCCAACTCTTAATTCATTTATTTATTCACAAAAAAAGTTATGACATAGCAACCATAGCAAGGAAATGTGTCATTTCCCTCTAAGACAGATATTCAATTATGATACAGTGTGAATAACAGAGTTGACATATGAAAAGTTGTGAGTACAAGGTAGTCTTACAGAATAGGTAAAATAAACAGAATTTGCTACTAGCAGAGGAAATGGGATAGAAGCCATTATACTTAGAGATTGCATTGTGAATGCAAATATTAGGTACATTATAGCTAGGAGCTTTAAGATTACAAAATACATTTTTGAAACAACCAATCAGTTCAGTAAAGTAACAGGCTACAATATCAACATGCAAAAATCAGTTGTGTTCTTATTTAAAACAGTGAACTAGAAAAGAAAGAACTCAAGAAAATATAGCCAGTTACTACCACATCAAAAGAAATAAATACCTAAGAATAAACTTAACAAAGGAAGTAAAAATAAATAAACAAAAAAACTGTACAAGCTAAACTATGGAGGGATTAACATTATCAAGTGGCCATCTTACCCAAAGCGATATTTAGATTCAATGAATTCCCTATTAAAGTTTCACTGGATTTCTTTAATGCAATAAACATCATAAAAATTTAATTGAAAACCACAAAAGGCCCCAAATAGCCAAAGGAATGCTGACAAAAACAGAAGAATGGAGTGCCACCTAAATTTCAAACAAAACCGCAAAACTCTGGCAGCCAAAACATATTTCAGCATGGTACTGAAATAAAAATACTCGTAGACCACTGGAATAGAATGAAAGCCCAAAAATAAACTCACACTTATATTGACAATGAATCTATAACAAAGAACCAACAGTATACTATGAGGTAAGGAAATGTTCTTCTATAAAGGATGATGGGAAAATTGGACAGTCATAAGCTAAAGATTGAGAGTAGACCACTATCTCCCACCATACACAAAAGTTAACCCAAAATGGATTAACAATTAGGCTGTAAGACCTGAAACCATAATACATACATATATATACATATACATATATATAAATATGTATGCATGTATGTATGTATATGTATATATGTGTATATATATATTATGTGTATATATATATATATATATATATATATAAAATATATATATATATAAACACAGACAAAACACTCCAGGTCGTTGACTTCAGGAATATCTTTGGACTTGATTTCATTAGTAAGAAAAACAAATGCAAAAATAAACAAATGAGAATCCTTTAAACTAAAAGGCTTCCATACGGTAAAGGAAATTTAGGAAAATTAAAGTATCCAATCTAGTAGAAGAAAATATATGCACACAATAAAGGGATAATATCCAAGATCTCCAAAGAACTCATGCAATTTAACAAAAAGGAAACAAAACACCCAATCAACAAACAGGCAGGAAAGCTAGTCATTTTTCTAAAGAAGACATACAGGTGGCCAACAGGCACATGAAAAATGCTCATCATCATTTATCACCAGAGAAACATAAACCACCAGGAGATGCTATATCACACCAGTGAGAACGGCCCACATAAGTATGACCAGAAACATCACGTGTCTGTGAGGGTGTGGAGAAAAACAAACTCTCCAGTACTGTCAGTGGAAATGTAGATGGGTCCAGCCTCCATGGAAAACTCTATGGAGGTTTCCTGATATCGTTAAATAATATAACTATTACTTAGCTATTATATTTAATGGTTATACTAAAAATAGTTCAACCATATAATCCAGAAATACGACTCTTAAGTTTCTAACCAAAGCACTGTATTTAAGGATATATACACTCTCCTATTTATTGCAACATTATTTACAATTATCAAGTGAGTGGAAACAACAAACAGGTACATTAAAATCTAATGTATACATAAGCATCCACACCCCCATACTCTAGTGACGACTGCTCAGCTATTAAAAGATGAAACCTTGCCCTAGGTGACAATATGAATGGAAATGCAGGGGATTTTACTGAGGAAAATAATCAGAAGAAGAAGGGCAAATAATGAAGGGTGTCGCTCATATGTGGAATAGAGACAAAACAAAGGAAAAGACAAAGTCAAATTAAAACAAACTCTAGAAACCTGACTGCAGAATTGAGGTTGTCAGATGTTCCTGGGGAGCGAGAGGTCTGAAGTACGGAGGAGGGCCAGCAGCATAGATGGAGAAACTCTCACTGCCTGGGTGGTGGGAGTGGTGTGGCGCCATATGTAGGGAGGTCATAGCCCTACGGCTAACTCATATACAGTATATGGCAAATCTGTGTGACCCTACGAAAGAAAAAATACCAAAAAAGTGCCCTTTTCTTACACTTGTTAACCCTAACTATTGTTGCAATAACAATACTTATTAGTATGACTTCAAAATACAGGACCTCATTTTAATTTACATTTTTCTTATTACCAGGCAGGTTGAGCATCTGTAGTGAAAATACAAAATCTGTTAATCATGACACTGGCTCAAATTAGAATTTGCTTGTGGAAGAAGAGCAGCGACCTACTGTAAAATAGTGTTACAGGGTTACCTCTCAGAGTCTTCACCCTTCGAGACAGAAGACAGCTGGTTACCCCTGTTCCCACTCTTCCTTTGTTGAAGGAATCGATCAAAAGCATCAGCAGCATCGTATATTTTTTCAGACAATCCCATTTCACTACTTTTGATCCGTTCCTTTGCTTCCTCAACCTTTAGTAAAAGTGTGATTTTAAGGAAAATTGTTATTTATTTATTCATACAGAAAGGGGGTAACAGGCCAGAGGTGCAGAGAGTGAGCGGAGTCACCAGAGACAGTGGGGAGCAGAACCAGCAGATCTATGAAGTGCACTGCTGAGGGGAGCAGCGGGCGGGTCACCTCTGGGGTGGGGGGTCGAACTTGCACTGAAATGGCTGTGGCTCACTTGCAGTGCTGTGTCCTAACCCGTTGCGCCACCAGGGAGGGCCTGTTGTGCTTATTTTTATCATTGTAATTCACCAAAATTTTTGGAACTTCTGCTTCACCCTGAGTAAACGGAGCATTTCCTCACATTTCTAAGAGAGCACTGGTGGTGCCCTTCTTCACACCACTCTCACGCCTCACACTTTCACCTGTCTGGTACCGGTCTGGCTGACTGCAAAGTCAGGCTACAGGAAATGACCTTGTGTTGCTTCTCTGACCAAAGGAAGATAGTCTCTCTCTGCACTGGCCCCTTGTTCCCCCTGCTGTCTTTTAGCATTTTTTCCCCTTTATTATTTGGATCCCTGAGATTTTAAGAAAGTGATGACATTCACATTAATATTTATCAGAGCCAGGCCCTCCCTGGTGGTTTAGGGGAGGGCCATGAAGCGGGAGGTGACCCACAGGGCACAGCAGACCTCTCCGGTCTCCCCACTGCTCCCCTCAGCAATGCACTTCATCAGTCTGCCTCTGTTCTGCTCCCCACTCTGTGAATTCTGATTCACTCTGGTGAATCCTCTTACCCCCTGCACCTCTGGCCTGTGTGCATAAATTAAAAAAATCTTCAAAAAAAAAATACCAGAGCCAAAGTTTATCAGAATACAGTGAAAATGACAAATGATGTTAGTGTAGAATTCTGAAGAAATGAGTAATGCTTGCCAAATTTCACCTTCAGTGGCCATAACATGTGGTAGCTGGAGGGGAAAGAAGTAATTGCCTACTTTAGCTCCATTATCTCTGACAGCTGGAGTGAGTGAAAGAAGGCTCAAGATTTACTCACAGAGCCCAAAGTGGCATTGCCCAGCACATAATGACACTAAAAGGGCTTTAACAAATCTTTTAAGACTGACTCAGATAATTTCAACAAATGAATCAGGTAAACTAAAAGTGTGATTTTCAAAGGTAATTTAATGCTTAAGCTGGGGGTTAGGGCTCTTCCACTCTGTCTTTGAAAGGATAATATCTGTATATTGGTATCCATCTTTAAAACCCAATTGCAGCTCAAAATCAACTTTTTTCTTCTGTTATAGCTCAGCACCCTCAAGCCTTCCCGCTCTAAATAGGTTCCTCCAAGCACCGCATTAAGATAAAACATATGAGACCTTTAATGGGCAGGAACTTTCATACCATTAGTGTGCAACAAAGAAAAAGGGGAAGAATTAAGTTTCCAAATCAAACATCCAAAATTGCGCCTCCCCTCGTGGGTAAATATCCAAAGCAGGGCCACTGAGGCCTGGGAGCCTGTCCCAGCCCAAAGCACCTCTGGCGGGGACATAGAAGAGGGTCAGACATGGCCAGACAAGTCTGAGAGGAAGAGAGCACAACCAAAGTCAAGGTAAACGCGGCCATAGTCAACCTCCCCATGGGTCTCTCACCCAGGCCAGGGCCGAGAAGCAAGTGTAGCTTCTTCACATGTCTCTGCTCCCTCAGGTCTTCTCCTGCTCCCCATCCTGCTTCATTCCTTCTCCAGTCTCCCTCCTAGCTTCTTCTCCTCCCTGCTCAGCTCCACCCTCCCTTGGGTGGGGCAGGGAACCTGTGGAAGCCCCATTTTTCCTGGGGACCCCTCTGTCACACTTCTGATCTATTTTGCTTAGCATTTGCCTCTCCATATTGGGGTGCTGGTGTGGGCTGCATGTGAGAACATGCATTTGTAGCGGGGCTTAACCCTGTAAACCCAAAGCAGATGCAGAGACCCAAACCTATTTCACCTCAACAGACTTGTACTTTCTCTTCATCACACACGGTTGTTAACCAGCTACCACCATTCTTTAAAAATGCTACTGTTAAAGAGTGCTTAAATTGCTTCCTGATTTCCTACACGGGGATGAAGTTAGAAAGTTATGCTATTGTTTGTATTTGAATGACAAAGGTCTCACCCTATAACATGTGATTTTCTTTATAACAGTCGAACAAATTTTATGACCCCTTACGCTCCTTGAAGGAGCAGACTCTGAGGCCGATTACACAGAGATCACAAGGCAGAATACATCTCTCATCTCAGCAACTGCAGATACTGAACCGGGGGCCAAGAGGACTCCTTTTGCATAAATGCACCTCTGAGATCATCGTTGTGTTATCATTCACCATATCACCTGCTTAATCATATGATTCAACATTTAAATGTTACCTTCTTTTGCACATGTGGATGTGCAAATGATGTCCAGGAATTTGGGCCTCACACCCAAGGATAAAGCTTAGCTCTGAGTCCCCATTTATTCTAACCTTGTTTTCCGTTTTTAACTAGTTAAAATGCTATTACAACTAAATGTTAAATTATGATCTACTGAATCTATAACATTAGACTGGAAAGGTAATTCTACGTGGACTGTGCCCCATTTATAAAGGATAGAAAAGAGTGTTAAACCAGAAATTTAACTTTAAACTTTTACATACCCATGGGTGGTTATTTTTGCTGCTATCAAGACTTTCTTGAACTTCCTCTGATGTCACTTTCAGGTCTAGTCTTGCTGACAACTCTATGTAGATAGTTAAAATGAACCACTTAGAACAGTTTGATAAAAAACCTTACTATTTATGAAAATAGAATATAATATTTTATTAATTAAGAGTTAAATTAAGCTTACTGTTTCACTGAATGTTTCTTTTTTTCAGAAATTCCTATAATTAACCTAGAAATTCAAAACCATTTGGGGGCCTCCCTGGTGGCCTAGGGGTTAAGTCTCAGCCCCATTACCACAAGGTCCTAAGTTCGAACCCCAGCCTGGGAGCTCACCCACGTGGCTCAGCAGACCTCTCCTGTCTGGCCACCGCTCCCCTCTGCAGTATATCTCATAAATGTGCCTGTTCTGCTCCCCACTCTGTCTCCTGTGAGTCCTCTTAAGCCTTCTCCCTCACCTCTGGCCTCTACACACCCAATTCTTCTACACACACCCACACAAACCATTTTGGGAAATATCTGATTCAACTGGTTCAAGAGATACAAACATTGCAAAGATTCATTTCCAGATTCATCCACGGAACATCAATAAACAAAACACATCTCAACAAAATTTTAAAATACAACATAAATGCATAAGTTCACACTATACTACCTACCACATATTATCATCTCTTGAGCTACACATTAAAATTCAACTGCATTGTTATTCAGTTTCCAAATTACTGTTCCTTCTCACGTATGTATCTTTGTAGCTCCTTCCTTAATCTGGAATGTTTTCTTCTATTTTGACAAAAGTTCATTTTTTGAGATTCTGCAACCTGTTGTAGGTTCTCCTTCATGATGATTCTTTCTCCAGATAAGTAGGTATCTCCTTCTGTGGGACTATGATCATACTTTACAGATTTTTGTAGCTTCCCCACAAAAACTACAAATACATTCTTTACACAGAATAAAGGGGATTCTTTATTCCAACTCTGGAGGGACAGTCTCTTAAATCACCTTTGCATGAACAGATTTTATCTATTTCGTTCAATAATTACAGAGTTCATGCTAAGTACTATGGCCTTCCTAGAGATGATGACTAGTTGAGATGTAAAGTCAGCCAGGCTCCAGGGGGTAGAGGACAGGAGCAGGGTGGGACATGCAAGGCTGTAGCAAGATAGAGAGAATCATACAAGAAGGCATCTATTTGTCTAAAATACAGGGATTATTGGGGCAGGCATCCTCACCAGTGGTGAGAATGCGGGCAGACAGTGCAAGGGCTAAATATGAAGTTGGGCGTATGTCATTTTCAGATGCATTCATGTGTTTTGAAGAATGAGTAGTTTGGATCATTTGCACTTGAGATAGCTCTCTCTAATGTTATGGAGGGCGCTGACCTGAGAGGCATACACGTTGATAACGGGAAACAAATTAGAAGGAAGGCAATAATGCAAAATAAAGACAATGCAGGTCTGAACTGAGGGAATGTTTCCAGGGATATCAGTACCGGGCTGTTCCTGGTGGTGTAACAGGTTAAAGCACTGCAATATGAAGCTCTCTAAAGCCACTGCAGCACGAGTTCGATTCCCGCCCAGGGAGATGACCCCTATGGTGCGGCAGACCTCTCCTGAACTGCTGGCTGCTCCCCTCAGTGTACTTTGTTGATCTGCCTATTTTGCTCCCCACTCTGTCTCTGATGCAACCTCTCACCCAGCACACCTTTGGCTTCTACCCCAGTTCTGTAAGCATAAATAAATAAATCTTTTTAAAAAACAGTAAAAAGAAAAGATTACATTAAAAATCTCTTATGCTTGTAATATCTTTTAAACACTGATACCTGCAGTATTTATATAACATCATTCATTCATAAAAGCTTGAAAAAATTAGAAATAAGAAGGCTGTATTCATATTAAATACTTCAGTATACATTTTTCCAGACATTATTTTTATAGCAAAATGTACCTGATGGAGATGTTTGTACAACCTCAATTTCTACTGCCTTCATGGGAACAGAATCTTTCCCTTCAATGGTAGGCTGGGTAGATTTTTAAACAAGATGATTAATAAACAATGCACATTTCAAAAATCTGTAGTAATAATTCAAGATAAACTTAAGTACCTCCAAGCGAATATATTTTCCAGGAGAATCTAAAAATCAGAAGGAACATATAATTAATTCTATGTAAATATGAAAACCAACTGTACATATTGATTATTTTAGCATTGTGATATGCTTCTATAACTTTTCCCCAACAATTATGTTTACTGAGACAAAGTTGGTTTATATAGTTGTATTTGCTTAGGGGTTATAGTTTCAAAAATACAGATGTATATTTTCACACCATGCCCATCACCCCAATCATTTTCCAC